GTAATAACTATATTATTTATTTGTTCGTTGTTCGTAGAATATTTTTGAGGTATTATTTTTGGTATTTTACCTTTTATGTCAGCCTCACTAATACCATATTTAGGTTGTCAGTTATGCTATTTTCATACCTAAATTTGACATTAATAAGTTATTTGGAAACCATCAGTTTGGTTTTAGACATCGTTTTTCAATATTTTTAGAAACAAAGTATCTTATTTTTGTTTAAGGGTGGTAAGTTTCTCCTTAATGAATCTAACACAGAGTTATCACAATTTTTCGGAAATTTTCGGAACTTCATTAAAGATTCAGTAATTTTCTTGATGTTCATGACCCTCCCAAATTCTTCTGTAGTTTTCTGGACATTGTTCTTGGAACATATGTAAAGTTCCTGCAGTTTATTTTTCAATAAATCAAACGGCCCTGCACTTTCAAAAAATTTCTGAAGTTTTGGGTATTTCCTAAAAATTTCCAAAAAATTAGGATGTTCATGGAACTGCCCTGAATTTCTCAAATGTTTCCCGAAGCTCTCTAATATATTTTTCATAGATCTTTAAACATACCACCAGATTTCTTGAAAGTGGCGCTGGTGGTGTAGTGGGAAGCGTGACTGCCTCTCAATCCAAAGCGCCAGGGTTCAATCCCAGGCTGCGCCACCGGGATTTTCTGAAGCATAAAATAACTGATCAAGGAAGTAAGTAAATAGGTAGGGTGTGGGAGCTGCCTTCCTGGCGTCGCAAGTTCAACGGAAGCAAATCAAGGGAAAAAAATCTTGAAGTTCTGTTAAAGTTTTTGAAGTTAATGCAACTGTCATTTCTCTGATCTTCATAAAGCTCACGATTTTTCTTTGAAGTTCACGGAACTGAACCTCTTATAGCTAACCCTTGAAGATCTTTAAACTTCCCAAAGTACAGAACTTCCTTGGAACTTATTGTTTTATTTTTGAACCCAGCTACACGCAAAGAAAACCGTTCCGGTATCCTTAAACAAAAAAATCACGATAACCTGAACTGGTAGTTCATTTGAATTCATGATACGTAAACGTGATCGTGTAAATCACATTTTCATGATCTAAATCCAGAATCCATGAACTTATATCACGTCTGTTTATCGCGACCAACGATTTCGTAACGCTTAAGAAAACATACCGCTTTTTCATGATGACTAGACGGGTTGAATGTGAAATTGTTGAAAAATGTACTCTAAGAGTATAGGAACAAACTTCATACAGTGTTTGAAAATATTTGGATTGAAAACAGAGCTCCTGAAGATATTTCTGAAACTATTCAGATACCTACCGATTCCAAAGAAGCCATATCCTAAGGAGATAAGTGATATCCGTTAAATAACTCTTTGTAACGTGGTTTACAAAATTGTAAGAAGCTACCTACTTGAGAAACCACCGAAGAAACCCCATCATACCAAGCTGAGTTCCTGAAGAATCGGTCCGTGGAAGAGCACATTTCCCTCTAAAAGGATCATGGAGGAACGGTGGAACAAAGGAGATGAATTATATAAGGAGAATAACTTAGATACCCGGCAAGTTTTCGATTCGATGGATCAAAATTCATTAGTTGATGCCTTAAAGTTCATGAAGGTCCCAAACTGTTTAATGCAGTGATGCAAAATATCATGACACTCACGTGACACTCGTCTACGCATCAACCGACTATCGCTGACAGAACGTTTTGTCACGCAGTGAGAGGTAGAGCCATGGCAAACAACAATCGCCAGTAACGGTCGCTGCGCACAAGCAAAACTTTACACTCGCTGCTGATGATGAAAAGCACAACGAAAACAGTGAAGACTTCTGCAGCACGATCATGAGAAAAAGTGAAACAACAGAAGAAAATTAAAACAATGCCTACGCATTCCAAGTTCGTCTCGGCAGACGCGACTATGTGAGTTACAAACAAAGCAGGCAACATTAAACGGAAGCTGTTGGGCTCACTCACCAACACACTCACAAATGCACGCAAAGCAGCAACTGCTTCAAAACGAGCACAGATGAGTGTCGTGATTGTCGGGAATGACCAGATCGGTGGTGGATTACAATCGAAGACGACATTCACCAGTTGCTTTTTACTTCTTTCGTCAACTTGATGGATGGTCATGGAGAGAGCTTCGACGAGCACATTGATAGGAATGTACAAAGCGTTACTACTGTTTGACGATCGTGATTGTGATAGGTCGCAACTCTGGTTTAATCAATAGAATTATTAAATTGGACCTGCATGAGAGAACATCTTTGAGGTGCTCAAATAAAACAACTCATAAAGTACTGAAGGGTAAAGGAATAGACTCCTTACCATAACAATACATCATGTATTGAGTTGCTTGAAAGATCGCTTCCCTTAAATCTCACTGGATCAGAATGAAAGAATGTCACCACCTGTAATTTTCGCTTACGCAGAGGACATTATGATCGTATGCAGCAGTATGAATCAACTGAAATCGTACGGGTTTTGAAAGAGCTCTTAGAAAAATCAGGACTAATTGTGCATTTCGGAAAATCGGAGCCCATTGTAAGGAACCCACAGTCAACCAAGGTAGCTGTTGAAGATGCGTTTAAAATGGCTGAAATGGAGTTAAAAGCTCAGTCAATCATGAAGTTGCCGGCGCCAGTGGTGTAGTGGTAAGCGTGACTGCTTTCTAACACCCCAATGGGTCTGGGTTCAATCCCAGCCGAGGTCGGTGGGATATTTCTGAGGCATAAAAATCTTTGGTCACGTCTTCCTTCGGAAGGGAAGTAAAGCCGTTGGTCCCGGCCCATGTGTGTTGAATGGGTGCGATATCCTACGCAGGTGTGGAAGCTGCCTTCCTGCACATTCGATTGCCGTCAATGGATGGCAATCGATGTCCGTCGGTGATTGGCACTAGATTGCGGAACAGAGACCGACGTTAAATAAAAAAGGAAAAAAAAAAATCATGAAGTACCTGGTAATATATCTCGCCACTACGCTAAACAGACCGGAAAATGTAAAGAAAAGGTGCTTAAAAGGAACGAGGGCAAGTAAAATGATTCTTTCGTTCTTGCTAAAGAGCCAATCTCCTTGGTATATAGTTCGAAGAATTTATCCAACGGTAATTGTTCCCACCGTTGTTTTAGGACTAAAATTTAATGTCATGGCCCTGACGGCGCACAATCGAAGAACCTTTCGAAGATCGAAGGTATGACCCAAGTCACACAAATTAATAGAATTATGTTGAGTAAACTGCTTTACAACCAAAACCAGGCATATAAAGGGTATATAAACTGTTATAGAACATGTGTGTTGCTTGGGGAGCGTAACATTGTGTAAGAATGGTACAAGGCTTGTGGTGGCAATGAGGAACAGACAACGAGGCAGCTGCTGATAGGTTGTACTGTTGGGAAAAAGTTAAAATTTTCCGCATCCTTTATTGGAGTCATATAACATGAAGGGACGAAAATCATTTGCTACAAGCAGCATTTAACCTTCGACTATCACGCGTAAAAAGATTCTGCAGACCATGTGATAAATGGTTCGTAAGATTGAACAAAAAATTGCAGTCATTCGATAAGACAAAAACCGACTTTGAAGCAATACTACATGAAATTGATACTTTTAAGAAAGAGACTGCAAAGTTATACTTATTAAATGAAACATCAGATAGCGAGATGTCGATGAACTCACTAGGTACTGATGAATCATCAAATGAAAGCGATGATGGTTAGATGGGCATAATCAATGGTTGAGGCAATAAATAAATACGATGTTGATAATAAAGGAAAATCATTAACTTATATTGCAACGGGGCTAAGGAGGTAGGGTAGCTCTCATTTACCTTTTTCCAGCTCTCTTTCCCCTCCTTCCTTTCCCTTCTTCTCTTTTCAGAAAGCGAGTAATGCCATATAGGGCTAGGATAAGAGTTAGTGCTCAGGTCCCAACCGCTAGAAGAAAATGGAGCATCACTTAACATTTTTAGACTAGATGCTCTCAACAGGCAGGCCGGTGTTTCTGAATCATCTTGCCCCTTAACTGCTGCACAGTAGGCCTGACCGTTTTGATATATTTTGCACATCTATGATGTGCAACATACAGCAGATAGACAAGAACAGTGATGGAGGTATATCTATCATTTTCCACGATGCTTTCATGAATTGGCTGTGTTGGTGTTATTTAGATTAGATTATGTACTCATATTTTGGGTTAATGAATCAATCGGTGGCCAATATGAATGTGAAAACTTTTTTTTTCAAATTAAAGCTCCCAAATAAAATGCTTTGGTAGATTTTTCAGCACTCTTCAGATCAATCAAGGTCAGGAAGTATTTAAAAGATCCCAGCTGTTCGAAGATTTCATTCAAGTCCTCTGCATATTTTTTTCAAGACTTCAGGTTGATGAAGTTCATTGTTGATTGTCTTCAAATCTGGCATCCTTCGTTGACGAAGATGTACTGCTATAATTGCCCTCGCATCACCAATTCGAAGTCGCGAAGTGCTGCCAGCCAAGACTTTGCATTAGATTTCAGTCGAACGGGCTGTATTTTATCGGAGATTAAAGCCTGTTCAACTTGACTTTGAAATCATCACAACTATTATTGAAAAGATGGCACATGATTTTTATAACCATATGCAGTGTGGTGCCCCGGTAGACAAAGTTTGCCGAATGTCCGAACGTTTAACAACCCACTATCCCACTATCCTAATTGTATATGGCACAAACGTTCTGACTGGTGCTACCAGATTGATAACGCAATAAAAACTTACAGTAAACAGCACATTCTCACCATGCTTTCCCTCCTACTATTATTTCCTAAAAACGCTCTACAGCGGCCCCAGAACGAGACTTTTGCAGTGCACGACCAGAAAACACAAACGGGCCCCACCCAGACCATGTTACTCGTACTCACACTTTTCTTATCACCATTCCATTCGTCCGCGTTCGCCCATTGTTGGTTGACTTGGTTTCCGGTCCCAGCTCTTGAAAGCAAGCTCGCTGGGAGTGTGAATGGAATTACAAATGAATGCTAACAATTAATTATTTTTAAAAGCACTTTTAACACAGCAAATGCTTTTTATTTCCGTTGTCGTGTTTTATTTCTGCCGGGTTTTTTTTTCTCGATAGTTTCAGACCGTACATTTTTATTACACTTTCTCGCAAAAGTCGTACCCGGTGTTAGTTTCGATCCAGCTTAGATAGGAAGCGACCCGGGCGCTGACGCTAGGATACTTGGAGGCGCACGTGATGCCGTAGTTGGTGACGCCGATGGCGTACACGACACCTCCGGATTGGTCAGTATAGAGCAGAGGGCCACCGGAATCGTACTGGCAGCTGTCCTTTCCGGCAGTGTAGGTGCAAATTTGAGTATCCTGGACCGAGCTTTGTGGGGATAGCTGACTTCGACAAGTTGTGAGATCCATCACTTGAAGACTGACTTTCTGGAGATCGGTCGCCTGAGGACCACCAAAGTCCAGCGTTCCCCAGCCGAGAGCTTCGAGGTAGATGTTATTGAAGCTGGCACCAGCGTAGATATACGGGAGGCAAGCTCGACTGACTCCAGCGTTGAAGACGATTTCGTCCACCGTTCGAATCAAGGCGATGTCATTGGTTTTGGCGTTGGCATTGTATTGTCCATGAACGGTAAAGGTGGAAATTAGCATAAGTTTGGCGAATGCTGTGTCCGTACCGGTTTTCATGTTCTGGTCTCCTACCAGTAGGGCACTGTTCGTGATGGAGCGTCCGGAGATGCAGTGTGCAGCCGTAAGGGCGTGCCGGTTGGTAACTGGTGGACGGGAAGGTTTTGGTCATATTTACGAATTGAAAGATGCAGTTAACTAATACTTACTAATTGTAGCCCCACACACGAGAGACTTGGACGATACCTCAATAAGGGCAGCCATCATGGGAAACTCGTTTGCTTGAGTGGACACTCCGCCGACGATAAGGGGCTGTGAGTAATACCAAGCTTATTAGATGACTCGTGTGGTAACAGCAGAATCTGAACTCACCGTCTTGCGGCTTCCACAGTTGCACTTTCGCGGTATGGCGGTGACCTGACACCGGAAGCGTCCTCCACTCAGATATGGAGAAGTCTGCAGTGCCACCACCAGTTTGTTTCCACTCGATGCTACGTTGAACGGAGTTGAACCGCAGTAGATCTGCGATCCAGTCAAAGTCGAATCGCCAGTCAACGACACCTGCAGCTTATCGTAGTAACATCCGTAGGTGGATGGGAGATACATATCGTAGCACTGCATGTAAAGGTAGTGCCTTGGAGGAGCCTGGATCGTAAATCGGCAGTTCGTTCCAGGTTTGTAGTAGTTGCTCCAATTCGGCGATTGAATATATCCCACCGAGTAGGAGGCATAATTGTAAGTTATATCACATCCTGCGTAATTTTGACTGTGACTATGGTTGAACAGTAGCGAACAACAGAATAAACCTAACCACCACCAAATTTCCATATTGGAGAGCTTAACAGTTTGAGAGATGAATTAGAATTGGCAAATTTAGTTAATTCGATTCAGCTCATAAATGAAGGAAAACAACCGCAATTGCGAATATTGAATGGTGCTAGCAGTTGTTCAAACAACACACGTTTTCAGACAATTTATTTTGCTCAGTTAAAACTTTCCTCTCGGGCCAGTCGAATCACAATGCTGTCCGTTGATCTACTTAGTTTGGTTTGAAGATGGAAACAATTTTTTTATCCGCTATGGTGATGTAAGCGCAACCCGAACACATTCGGGCTATTGTTTGAGGACCTTGTTTTGATGGATTTGAATTTTATTTTAGGGCAATGAATTGCATCCCAGTGCTGGAATTCAGTTGTCAGGGACAGGCGATACTTTAGATGACGAAAGTGGCATATTTGCCTCCGGGAGATAAATGGTCGCAATATGCTGTTGCTGTTATTCCGACTGTTTTGGGTCATGTCAACATTACATCTGTTGATAAGCTTACCCGGACACCACATGAGTGGAAATATTGTTTAAGTTCTAAAGCAGGGCTGATAGCGGGTCACTTTTTTAAAGGTGGTCACTAAAAATTCCCTATTTTCGAAAAAACGTCACGAAAGCAACTTTTTTAGACAATCCATTCAAAATGACAAATTTGATCAAAAAGTAAATAAAAGTTGTTACAGCGCTACGATTTGCTTAGTTCCTAGCTAACTAACTAACGAAACTAACGAACAGAAAAGTACGCAGAAGAAACCATGCACTTTTTTATTTGCGATTCCGCACTAGACTGATGCAAAATTTGAAATTTTCGCTCCACAGTGCTCAAACGGTTCCAAATTGGGTCCTGCTTAGCCTCCCAAAATTTGAACTACTTTAGTAAGAAACTGACTTGGCACAAACCATTTCAAGTTTATATGGGAATTACTATGGGAAAACTTATGTTTTTGTTCTTATGTATCTAACAATTCACCACATCACTATGCTTTTAAAAATGATAGAAGGGATTGTAGAATTTTTTTCCAGCTACAACTTTGTTGAAAACCACTTTTCAATCAAATGTAAGGAACAAAAGTTATTAATGATTCAAGTCACTGATGTCTTATAATTATGCTCATTCAACTGTTCAGCAGGCAACATTGGTGTTTCTGGTGCGAAGAATAGAGCACAAATATCATGGCTACTATGTCACACTGCAGAATACAGTGTTGCTAACAGAACAGCTGCTTGATCATGTTATAAGATTATCAATATCTTAAACAATTAATAACTATTTAGTTTGACATTTAGCTGAAAAACAATATTCGGCAAAGCTGTAGCTTAGAAAATTTCCCGTAAGAATAGTTATAGAAATTTTCGAATAAGCAATGTGAAAAATGGATAGAAGACAATGAACAAAAAGTTTGGTTTTCCCATAGTAATTTCCATATAAACTTTGAATGATTTGTGCCAAGTCAGTTTCTTACCAAATGAGTTTAAATTTTGGGAGGCTAATCAGGACCTGATTTGAAGCCGTTTGAGCACTGTGGAGCGAAAATTTCAAATTTTGCATCAGTCTATTCCGCACCTTTGACGAGTCCAGTTTCTACTGCGAAACACACTGAAACCTCCATTTACGAACCAAAACGGGGGTTCGTAAATCGAATTAGTGCGTCAAAAAAGAACCTCGTTATTTGGGATTTATTTCGTAAAAAGAAAACTCGTTAAAAAGAGGTTTTTGAAAATATTGTCAAATACCCCACAGTATGGGCATTTTTGGAATCAGGGTGACGTGTAGGGACCGGAAATCGATGTCTGACGCCATTTTGAAATCCAAGATGGCGGCTTCCGGTTACATAATTTTTTTGGAAATTTTGTCAAATACCCCACAATATGGGTATTTTTTGGAATCTGAGTGACGTGTAGGGACCGGAAATCGATGTGTGACGCCATTTTGAAATCAAAGATGGTGGCTTCCGGTTACACAAAAACAGAAAAATAATGTTAAATAACCCACAATATGGATATCTTAAGAATCAGGGTGACGTTTAGGGACCGGAAAACGATGTCTGACGCCATTTTGAATGGCTTCCGGTTACAGAAAAACTTGGAAATTCTGGGGTATTTGCCACAATATGGGTATTTTTGGAATCGGAGTGACGTGTAAGAACCGGAAATCGATGTCTGACGCCATTTTGAAATCCAAGATGGCGGCTTCCGGTTACATAAAAACAGAAAAATAATCAGAGTTGGTTGGAAAATGCTAACATGAAGCTTTAGTGTGATAATTTATTAGCTAGAGAATGATCTTTTTTAGAAGAGGGTAGGTGGATAGTTCCGTTAGAGTACGGCAGTATGAAAATTCAATAGAAGTTGAAAATGAGCGAAGGGCCATTAATGCGACAGTTTTTAAAGATAGACGCACATCTTTGCCTAACCCGTACGATGTACGCGGAGACTTGAAGTATGTGAAGTATGTTTTAGCCCTTCGCTCATTTTCAACTTCTATTCAATTTTCATACTGCCGTACTCTAACGGAACTATCCACCTACCCTCTTCTAAAAAAGATCATTCTCTAGCTAATAAATTATCACACTAAAGCTTCATGTTAGCATTTTCCAACCAACTCTGAAAATCGCTAACTTCGCGTATGAAGTAACATAAAAACACTTTGAATGGAAGAAAAATAATGTTAAATAACCCACAATATGGGTATCTTAAGAATCAGGGTGACGTTTAGGGACCGGAAATCGATGTCTGACGCCATTTTAAAATCCAATATGGCGGCTTCCGGTTACAGGAAAACAGAAAAATACCGTTAAATACACAACAATATGGATATTTTTGGAATCTGAGTGACCTGTGAGAACCGAGAATCCATGTCTGACGCCATTTAGAAATTCAAGATGCTGACATCCGGTTACAGAAACACTGGCAAATACTGTCAAATACCCCACAATATGGGTTTTTTGGAATCGGGGTGACTAATTAGGACTGAAAACCCATGTCTGACGCCATTGTGAAATTCAATTCAATATGGCGACTTCCGCGCTCTTCAAGCTTATTGCTTAGCACATATTAGCTTATTGCGGCTCTCAACTTAGCGTTCTAATGCACTTCCACAGTTATTAATTGGGAGCTTTCGAGGCCAATACCAATGCATGAATTTGTATATTGTATGGCAAGTACAATGATACTCTATGCCCAGGGAAGACGAGAAAATTTTCAACCCAAAAGATTTCCTCGACCGAACCGGGAATCGAACCCGCCCCCTCCGGCTTGGTAATACCGTGCCTTTACTGACTAGGCTATGAGACCCCCAGGGTGACCAGTTAACCGGGAAATCGAGAAAACCGGAAAATGCCGAAAATTCAATGGCACCGGAAGAAACTGGGATAAACTCAGGAATTTCGATGCCAAATTGAAAAAAAGCACTTCTTCCTCTCTTCAAATAATGCACATAACATATGAGGAACTTCATGCTCATGAACTGACTAAAAGATGACCCCTTTTTGTGTTGTTGTTGTGGTATAACGTTGGCCATCGATCTGTCAAAATACAATTTTCGTGATAACGGCACTGAGCGTTCATAAGGACCAATGTCGAAAACGTAAACAACGGCTACTTTCGTGAATTTCTCGTAGTTCAAAGTCTATCCATGTAAGCCACCAATTCTATTGGAAAGGGGGCCTCTCCCTCTACACAATCATCGTTGGTTGTTTACTTGAATGGTTTTTCATTCTTGAGAAATTTGTGGAAAAAGGAACTGTTAAACGTTTGCGACATTGGCTCTTATGAAAAAAATACCAGATATATGGTTGCATGCTCAGTAAGCATTGACGTTGACGACGACAAGCATCGGACAATCTAAACATGAAGTCTATGCGGACTTTGTCTTATCTCTTCACTCCACCATGGTACCAGCGAGCCGCCGTCTTTTCACGCATAGATTGACAGTATCTTACGGGATTTTCATATGAGTGGAAGGGTAAGGAAATGTCCACCAAAGAGTGGCGGAAAAGGTGAATTGTCATGCTAATGCGGCTATTTTTTTTGACTAGCTCTACTAGATTAGGGGGGCTTATCAAAGGATTTTTAACTAGTATTATCGAGCCGATCAAAAGCCAATCTAGAGAGCTATTAACCAGTAGCATTGCCTATTTACAAATGTAATATTTCTTCGTATCTTAGACCGGGTTGAATTGCATTGCGTTCATTACGGAAATTACGATAATTGAATGTAATTTACAGCAATCAATTTGAAGATTCAATGATTGTTGTATGTTGGAAAATTGATCACTGTTCTTTTAGTAAGTCAACTTGGGAATTTTATGATTGCATCACGAAATATTCTGTTGATGGATAATAACGTTTGTACTAAAAAAAGTTCATTTTTTTTCTAAAAAGGCTAGAAATAAAACTAGGGTAAGTGTTCCAGTTGTTGATCCTCTAGCCGTTCCTGGTAACTTTGAGATTGCTAGCTGGAAGTCGAAAAAAGCTTGTTAGGATCGTCTTTTGGCTTTTCGATCAACTTTTCCACGTTTTTTAGTACAAAGTAATTGATGTAGATCTTTGTGCCAAATTTTTCATTTGGCCGCAGTTGAGAAACATATCGAGGGTTGAATCCTTGGGTACTTCAGGTCAAAGTTCTTGTGAATGGAACGATGGTCAGCATATTTTCTATATAAACCGTAATATTTTGCTGCTTTTAGTTCAGTTTACTCCTAATTTGGGCGCTCGAATTTTCCCCCTACGAATCCAAATTAAATTAAAGGTTGATGCAATTGGTTCCAAACAATGAGAAAAAGTTAACGAAAAAAATCGTACATACATTTTGCTTCTAAGTTTACAGAAAGAAAATTGAAAAATATACCCGCTCATACTTAGAGTTAGAAGACTGCGTACTGTTAACATATGGTAACTTACAATGACATTTTAGGATTAATCGTTGGGTGGCAGGTCATTGCATAAAAAATTGGCAAAAATGGTCTACTTTTTTATGCAAACGTTGATTTACTTTTTGATGTGTGCAGCAAGTTGAT